AATGTAGAATAATCTCTGGAAGTTCGACATCACAAGTGTCGCATACATTTTCCTTCAACAAAACTTTTAGAAATCCAGCGATTGTTGAATGCATCATAAACATATCACAATGTTGGAGATGCAGTCGGCCTCCTCCTTTCTTTCCTCCCCCCGCCCCGCCTAATCGATCTGTTCCGATCGCTATCCAATTCATCTTTCCTCATCACCAATTGTGGGAGTGTTGTGAAGTGCTTAGTGGATGTTAGCGATGAGAAAGGGTTGTTTGTCGTGATGTTGTTGTTAGTATTGGTATATTGGTATGGTGTTGATGTTGATGTTAATGTTGGTGTTGGTGATGATATGAATTTGGTGTGTAGGGATAAGGTTAGACCATAGACCGCCACCTTCACTATCACCACCATTACGACCACCACTACTAATAGTGACGATGATGACAATTTTGCTTGTATTATTTGATGGCGATAGGAATGACCGTTTCGTTACTGTCCCCTTACCCGATTCAAAAAGTGAAGAAGGTGTTGTGTGTATGTGTGTGTGTGTGTGTGTACATATATATATATATATGTGCGTCTCTATTGAACTCATATAGTCCTTATATTCTAAGATGAGGTTTGCTTGGTCCCTTCTCAATTTTCTACTCCTTTTCATTTTCTTCCTTTTATCCGTTCTTTCCATCATTCTATTTGACGGGTGAATTTTTAGCTTTTTTTTAACATACCACTATCCTCTTCCTTCCTCTCTCCCTTTCTTTCTTCCTCGTTTGATTTTCAGTTTATTTAGTTTCTGCTGTTAATGCAGAGCAATGAGAAGGAGAAACCACCAAGGATAGTGGGCTACTTGACCATCATCATCATCATCATCATCATCATCCATGATACTTCGTTCATGTTCATCCACATATCTTTCTTTACCGCTACTGTCATACTTTTCCTGTTGCTTCTACTGCTGTCACCAATAATTGACTTTATTTGAATTTCTTACGAAATACTTTTTGAAATAGTGCCAATAAAAATAAATTTTATATGATTCAAAATTTAATACTTAATATCAGAATTTAATTTAGAATTTAATACTGAAATTGGAAAAGAAAAAGAAAACACAACGCTATCATTTGATATCGAAATAGTAAATTGATAAATCAGAAAATACAACGCTATCATTTGATATCGAAATAGTAAATTGATAAATCATTATAGATGATAATATATCAAAAAAATTATATGATAATTTTCACAAATCTAACTTTATCAATCTTTCTTGAAATGAATATTTAAATAGATCAATTTACATTGTTTTATTAATGATTGAAATGTGAGAATATAAGAAAATATTTGATGACGAATAGGAAAGAAATATAAAATTAATAAAAATTATTAATTGGCTCATATAGCAAATGTCTATAATTTGAAATAGAAGAAAATTAGGTCATCAATTTTGTACCAACCACTAAACATTCATTCCCTAGGCAAATTGGAACGATTATTTCTCTCTCATTCTTTTTTTGTGGAAGAATATGATAGCAGTTTTCAACATCTGTAATTTTCTCTCTAATTTTTTCCATCATTCCTATATATACATATCTATCTATCTATCTATCACACTATATCAATTTTAGTTTACATTTTCAATCATTTATTCTATTCTAATCCAAGCACCATCAATTTATCCTAATCGCCATACGATGAATTTTCGTTTCGTTTCGTTTCATTTCATATCATTTCATTGATGAATCAGACAAGTATGAGATGCTTTTTATTGACTGAATGGATAAACCATCATCATTGTCATTATAATTATTATTATTGCTATCATCATCATCGCTATTATCACCTTTATCATTTTCATTATTAGTGTCATCATCGTTATATATAAAAATATATTCCACTATTCTGCTGCTGTTTATTTTGCTTCTTCTGATTCATCTCAAATTTGATTTTCCACCTGCAAGTGGTTGTTTTTGAAGTTGAAGGATTAAAATTTCTTTCAACAACTCTTTCATTTCATTTGTTTATTATTATTATTATTATTGCTATTATTATTATTATTATTGCTATTATTATTATTATTATTGATATTATTATTATCACTTCTTAACTGTCTAAATAATATTGTTTTTGTCGTATTATTTCATCTATCGGAATCAGATTTATTGACTAATGGTTTGCATATATTTTATTTACAAAGTGAAGAATAGAAAATGATGCGAAATATTTGACATCACTCTTATCTTCGTCATGAACAGATGGATAGTTTTTAATTTGTGTTACATTTTAAGCTCCTTTTGAAATATTTTTGGATTATGGTGGATATGATTCATTCATTCACATTTAGGAAGAAGAAATGATCGGTATTATTTCCTCCTAACTTGATGATGATGATGATGATAATAATGGAGAACACGATCGATTAGCGCAATGGATGGTAGTAGTAGTAGTAGTAGTGGTAGTAGCATTAAGGAGCATAACGCATTATATTGGCATGGTAAATATATGTGATGGTGCAGTTGGTTTAGTTTGGTTTGGTTGGTTGGTTAGTTGGTTGATAATGATGATGATGATGATGATGGTGGTGGTAGTAGTAGTGATGGCGCTTCCCATCGATGAATATCATGTGCAAGTGAAAGCAGTAAGTATTTCAGAAATGCATTTTGTTTACCCATCCATCCATCCATCTATCCATTCATCCAACCATTCCTTCCATCCATCCATCCATCCATCCATCCATCCATCCATCCAGTCATCGTCTTCACCTATTATGGAGTATACTTGATATGAGGCGGTGATGTATAAGAGAAGTGCAAACGAAGAGGGAGAAAAGGCATAAAATTGCTGCGCATATGAACTATGAGGGATGAGTGCGCCATCATTGACGAAATATCACAAAAATTTTTTCCCCTTCTCTTTTTCGGCATTTCCTATCCGTCTTTCTCTTTCGAGAACAATCTCAGAAATAACTGTACAAAAAAGAGAGTGAGCAATAATTATTGTTGGCAAGAATATTTAGCAACGGTTAGCAAATAATGATGTTTCTATAATCATGGTTAATACGTCATCATCATTATCATAATCATTATCATCATTATTAGTAATTGTGATAATGATGAATGGAAATGAAGTGTTAGTAGCTTAGATTTAGAGGAATGAGCAGCAATGATAACTTCTCCTTTGAAGTCCGTAGCTGCCTTTATATGTTTTAAGCAATCTTTACTAAGATTGCAAATATAGAATTAATGAGTACAGGAGCTAGAAAGCTTTCCATCCTAGAAATAATCCATATTTATTACTCATCCGATTGATGCATCCTGAGAAGTGGACGATAGAAAATCGTCAATATCTTCTATTTAAAGGAATCGCTGATATCATCATCATCGTTATCATCATCATCATCATCATTATCTGTAACCATCATCATCATAATCATACACCGATGACGATCTATCCGTTGCTTTCAAGTATACATTTCATATCTCCTGTACTTCAACATTTTTGATATAAATGCGGGATGATTTTGTCTATCTTTCACATCCTCTCTTCCTTAATTTGAATTGATTTCAATGTAAAGGATTGAAATATTTTCTTGCCTATGCTGGCACTTAACACACTCATTTCAATTATGTTAGTAACTATTATTTTTATGTTTATATTTACTTACCACATGAAATATGTAAATTATGTGTATGTCCATTATCAAGGAAACGACAGCGATCTGCGTTGTCATCTATGCAACAAAATTTGTATGAAACAAAATTGTTGCAAAAATTCATTGGATAACAAACAATCGAAGTATTATATACTGCTTGCTGATATATTGATGAATAAATTTTTTGTTTATTTATTGTTGATTATTTATATTGTTTTGTTGATATCAATTAATCATCTAAAATTTATTTAGAATTAAATTTCTTTATAGAAATATAATTACTATCGAAATATAATTAATTATTCAGAGAATGGCAAATAATTACAATATTCATCATTATTTTGGCACATTTAGTTGTAACTTTTTAATCCTTAAAAGTTTTGACTTTTATTGATTGAATTATTGGTACTTATTTAATTATTGCTAAGTACCAATAATTTAATCAATGATAATATTAGGCTGAAAATGATAGATGCATTTGATTGAATTTAATGAAAATATTCGTTTATTATTATTATATCGCTGTCATAATGTGTTCTTCTTTTTGCTTTCTCATCACAACGATTACGAATACGACAAGGTTATTTTGAAAAACTTCAAACTTTCATTCATTCTTTTTATTTCCTCTCTTTTCAGATAGCTCTAATAATGGCGAACAATCAGCACAACTCCATCCATATTGCTACCACTATTTTTCCCATTTCTTTCTAATATGCAAAATTGAATCACGTTTTTCATTTGGGACACTGATAAATTCGGGCCCGTGTAATCCGGTTCCTTGGAGCGGAAAGCAACTGCCGTACATACCATTTTTGCCTTTTACAACTCTTCTTCTTCCTCTCTTGGCATTGAAAGATTTTCTTCAAATTTGTACTCGGCTTAAAAAAGAAGAATTGTCCAGTGTGTGTGTGTGTGTATATGTGTGTGTGTGTGTGAAAGAAGACTTGAGAGAAATTACGAAGAAGTAGAAAGGGTGAAGAAGAAGAAGAAGAGGTGCTATTGAAGTGAAATATTTGAAAAGAGAAGGTGATTTTCGAAAGGTAAGAAATTCATTTTTATTATTTCAGCAAATTTAAATGGAATATTTGAATTTAAATTATGCAATTTATAAACGGCTGTCAATTGATATATTACAAAAAAATTATTTAAAAGAAATGTTTGCAAAAGTTTTATTGTTTTTATTCTTTTCTTTATTAAAATATGAATAAAAGAGTTAAGTGAAGAAGGAAATCACTTTCAGATTTGTAACGATACACGAATACATCAATACAACATTTCCGGAAAGATTCAGATTAAGAAGCTTTGAAATCAGGAAGATATTATCAAGGTATAATTACGTCCAGCTAGTTCTAATTAAATTATTGATTTATAAGCTTATCTTATCAGCAATACTTGTTAATTGATTTACTCAGGATATACGAAATTTATTCTGTGCCGTTCTTTTTTTTGTATACAATTAATTTATTTTGAATTCGAGGCGATAAATCATTTATAGGACTGATTTACTTAGATAGGATAGGATGAAACCTAAAATATCGATAAGATGAAACCTGAAATATCGATAAGATGAAACCTGAAATATCTCTGTGAAAGTAGTGATTGAACTTAAACGACGATTGTTTTGGCGTTAATTTTTTGTTACTCTCTTGCGCTTTTTTAATTTTCCCAATATTTGCAGAAGAAAATTTTAGTCTTTCTTAATTTCAGGATAGGATGAAGTTAATTTTGATATTTGATATTTTTGTGTTTATTAGAGAAAATG